CAAAGTAAGCGAGGAATTATAAGCAAGTTGTCATAAGACCCCAGCTATCGTTGCCTTGCGAACTGTTCAGATAGCAGAGAAAATGGTCTATTCTTCATGGACATAAAGCATCTCTTAGATTCCCGTTTTATATAAGAAGTATTTACCTTAAGTCGTTTTAGATAGTAATAGCATTGATAGTTGAGGTTGGCGAAATAAAAAAAATAGAAGCCATCAGGAATTCAATAAATACCACTTAGTCCTGCCTCCTTAAAGACTTTCCAGCCTGGCTTGGCAGCAACTTAGACCTTACGGTGCCTCTTCGGCAGCCAAATGGTATTTTAAATTTATCTCAATACTTTGAGCTGGCTTTTAATGGATATCGGCTAAATCGAAAATACTAGGATTGAAAGGCATAATTTTAATGCAAATTAACAAGTAGAGCAAATGTGGCAGAGCTGATTATTGACAGGATTCCATTTTGCTTTAAAGCTCAACCTTTTCAGTAGGTAGGTTGTGAATTCCCTAAACAAAAGTCTCAAAGGAGATGGTTTTATTCATTTAGAGTTTATATCTAGGCAGAAATAATCATCTTAGAAGCATTTAACTTTCAGTATTATAAGATTCACTTCTTTAGCAAAATAAGTGAATATATAGAAGATTTAAAGAAAGAAGGCGGGTTGATATTAAAGTGTGCAGATGTGAAAGGCAATCAAGGCACTTTACAGATTTTTTTGTTGAGTGGAAGAGAAATTGTTCGAGCATAATAATCTGAGCGAAGTAGATACTTCTCTGTACAAAGTTTACAAACAAAGCTGTGATTATTGAGGTCAAATGCATATGAAATTCAATAGAAACGTCAGCTCTACTCATATCGTTTTGGGCAAATTCTACTACCAGTCCTTCATCGCCTTAAACGAAATAGGGTGAATACATCTCATATGACTGATTTACTGGTAGTCTCGAAACTCTACTCACATACAAAAAAATATATATGATAGTCTAGAAAACCGGTTCTAACTTTGGTTGTTGATTACTACAACCTCACACTAGTGGACAGGAGAAGCTTCTCCAGTGTATTGAACCCCTTTCTAGTGTGTCCGTAAACATTCGAAATAAGTACAAAATAAAGAAGCGAATAAATTAAAAACGAGAGTACCTTGTGCCAGCCCTTCATCGGCCACTTCCTCCTTTTGCTTAAAGTGCCCTGCAGAGGCTCAGGAGAGATAAACGGTGAGTCTACAAACGGAGAAGAGAGCCCGGACGGCTCGAGCCCCATCGGGGTCAGGCTCCCACAAGTAAGACTGAATCGCCTCACACCAGCATGGCAAGTGTCGGTCACCGTGGCTTCCTCAACTTTCGGGTCGGCCACTGGCTCACCAGGCCAAAGCCTTGATGAACCTGTTTCCGATAAGTAGTTAATACACGAAGATGAGGCCCGCCTCAGATCAACTTCTGAATTTGAACACAGATTATCGGAAGTCAGATTCGGCTTAGATAGCAGAGAGGATGGCGATAATGAAATCGATGTGGTGGAAAGAGAAGAGGTGGTTATGGGGATGGAACTTTGTGACACGGTATTGTTGATAATAGTTTTAGCACCAGTCGAGGTCGAGGGCATAGCTGAGGTCAAAGACGTTGAGAAAAAGGTGGGTCTAATAGAAGAGGTAGTTGAGAAATTTGGGCGATGCACAATAGGTGGCGAATGAGCCTCAGGACTACGACTGACTCGACCAACCATGTTAGCTTCAGATGAATGATGAGAAGCCGCCACCTCGGGTAAACTAACAGCAGATGGAGAATACGTGGGTCCTGGATCAAAATAAATAATAATTTAGTAGCGAACTTTGGACAATTAGTTAGGCAAAATTATAACAAAGGGGTCAAGGAGCACATAAGGAAATGAAAGATGGCAATCTGACAATAATTTCCATAAATTATACTTGAAATAAGGCATCTTACAAATTCATTTGATTTACTTGCCGAAAATGATGACAATTCGTGATAATTACACAACGATTCATGGGAATTAAATGCCAGTTATGTTATGAAAGTGTAGGACATCAAATATCTAAAGTTGATAGGGAAAGTGAAACTAAGATATTTACCATCTAAGATAGTCATTGTAGTAATTATGAAGTTCAGTTGACAAATATATCCATACTTTTTAAGAGAATCTCCAAACAAGATTAAAAAAGGCAATTAAAAAAGCAGCTTTTCAAACTCTTAAGTTTACCAATTCGTCGGCTCCTTCGGGGTAGTAAGTAGGAGGTAATCATATGTGAACCTAACTTTTAATAAGCTATCAATTGGCTATTATCTAATGGAATGGTTAATAGCCGAGTAAATGTGTATAGAATCCAGCATAATAAGCTTCAATCTGATCTGTTCTCTGATGAGGTGCTCTCTTATAGGCTAGAAAACAGTCTAAATGTGTGTGAATAACCTGGAATAAAAATATAAACATCTGCTCGAGATGGAAATTCGTTTTAACTGACATTGTTCTTGTGTGTAGAGATGAATTTATCCACAATTATAGATAAGAAAGGAAACCAACCTGAGCCTCAAATAAGGTTTCTATTTGGGCCTGATTCAGTACAAAAGTACCCAAAAAAATTGATTTTATTCTGCTGATGGCAAAACAGAAGCCGGAAAATCACAGAGTTCTTAAAAATATATGTATATCGACCCATATCAGCCGTCACAACTCCTTTGGTTGCCGGTGAAACCAACTTAAGAATCTTCTCCAGCCAACTTTTCTTTCTAAATTAAAAGTACAGGAACATGAAACGTTACCTGGATGAAGTAGTTCATAGCGAATTAGCAGAGGCCAGTGAATTTGCGTCGGATAATGTTCTTGAAACTATCAAAATGAGTAGTAATAAACTTACCGCTGAATTTCTATTCAACAACAGCAATTGACAATTCCAATAGCAACAACCAGCGATACAGAAAATTTAACTAGTATTATCTATATTGGGTAGTGAAGCATCTGGGTCCGTCAAGCAGAAAATAGGTAAATTTGGCATGAGTAGAGATAAGCAGAGAACCAAGCAGCCTTGATCCAGACAGCAGTTGGCCACCGGAAAGGAAACATCTGCATAGTCACTTACTGAGAGATGCATTATAGCAAATAATCTGCAGAAAAGCACATATCATGCTCCCATTCGTTTCGTTTCAACAAGCTGAGACAGTATTCTGCCTTAACTGATATATTTTAAAAACCACGTTTTCCTATCTCACCAGTAAATCTTGGCAATATCAAGATAATTACAGATGAAAATAAAAAACGGATAAGAAATGATGCATATAGTAAAAATGTATATGTAAATAGAGAAATCTGTGAAAGAAGAGATGGAAATGTATAGAATGTTATGAACGGTAAGCGCAGCTTACAAGCTTCTGACATTTCCCTAAAGTAACTATGCATAAGGTGCATATGTGAATGATAATACCATATTTGAATGACCTGTTTATTATGCAAAATAACTATTTAATAATGCATATATAGCTTGCTATATAATGATATATAAGCATATAAAACCTTCCTATTAATTTAGCTCACCAACCATAACGGAGTTAGCATTGAGAATGACCATTCAAATCGCAGCTTAATTCAGTATTCGGTAAAATTTTCTTATCATAGTCATCCTAAGGACGCAGGC